CTCTCGTGCCACGTACTTCCGGTACACGTGGCATAAAAAATCTATTATACTCTCGCCATCTCTATTTCTTTGTACATAATATCTAATAAATCTTGTTACACACAAACTCTACCAGAAATTAAGAAAAATACAGTCCACATTAGCCTGTCTCGTCCATCTCCTATACGTTCTTTTGTAGTTTATTCTCGAACGTTTTTTAACGAAATATTTTAAGAGATAAAATCACGTAAACAATATGCATAATAACTTTTCTTCTTTAAGGAATCAGTTTATTTTTTTTTATCATATCGAAAAGACCTCTGATCGTTAAGGATCGACAAAATAGTCTGCTTTGTGCGATCGTGTGTTTGATTATGATGAAAAGCGTGGCGTGTTAGTGGGACCAATCGAACAGGCCGTTCTCATTTTCTCAACTGTGGCTACGAGACGAATCGAATCGTTCGGGGCCCGACATACCCTCCGGCACTGGGTCCCATATACTTGTGCCATGTGCTGCCGTAGGTCTGCCACTCGATCGAACGAACGAACGAACGCCCTTCAGGTAGAAAAACGCATCGGTCGGCTAATACACGCATCTGGCGAGCGGAACCACCCCACTACTATAATATTTCCACCCCTTTTTTTCTCTCTCCCCTCTCCACCATTCTTTCTCTTTCTTTCAACGCGATGCTATTTGTAAATCGTCACGGTTTTATACTTAATATGCCCTATAAATGACAGGTTTTATTATTTAGTATAAGCTAATAACTGACTGCCTATTATCGTTTCAACGTATAGCTAAAAGAGAGGGTAGAAACTACCAAAAAAAAAAAAGAAAAGAAAAAAAACAACACGAAAACAAATAAAACATCTTACAAATAGTATCCGAATGATCGAAATCGAACGAAATTAAATGAATACTTCTATGATAAATTCTTTTATCAATATTATTCTCGTACTTAATCAAAAAATAAAATAAAATAAAATAATTCTATAAAAAATTATTATCGAACAGAAGCAATACGACAAAAAGTATTATTAACTGGTGTACAATAATCCTGAAACGTTTCGGGAAGTTAACGATAGCTGTTAGCGCAGGTGTGCCATTTTTTTTTGCAAAGCACACAGAAATTTATAGACTCCTTCGCGCCTTGGTACCGATACTCCCAAGTATCGGCGACAAACTAAAGCAAAGGGAAGATAAAAAAATGAGAGTAGAAGTCGAAGTTAAAAGGGAAAATTTCCGAAAGGGTAGAATCGGCTTCGATTCAATGCCCTTATTCGTTCTGGATATACGTTACTTGCTAAGTGTTATCTCGATACAGGTGCGTACGTCGGTGCACGGAAGATGAACGATCGTTAGAAAGAAGAAACACTATGCAGATGAGAGTATACACCGAGTTCTCTAGTAGTATACTATTTCTGTTTCTCTCTTTCTCTTTATCTTTCCCTTTCTATCCTTCTATATTTACTTTTCGACGATATACATACATTCCAAACGCTCGAGAGAACGTCGATGGCTCCCGCGCGATTCTAAATACTCGCCTCTAACACCTACCACCAACACGCGAGAGTCCACTTCTTTTGGAATAGAATCCACAAGATATCGAGAGAATCTCGTGAAGGAAGGAAAGAAAAAAGAAGAAAAGGAAAGAAAGAAAGCTCGTATATCTTTCGTCGTTAAAACGGAAAGTGGAACGAGCTCTCCCTTTTATTTTGCCGATTTTCAACCTCCAAGTTTAACCAATGTGTAACGTGTAACTAACTATAGTTTTACTCTTTATATACAATTTTCAAATATATATAACATACACATATGTATGCAATTTTTCTTTTATTTTTTTGTATAATAAATAATTAACTTAAATTGATCATAAATCGTATCCCGATTGAATCGTTGAAAAATGAAAAAATGACATAATCGGAATATATTTATTATTAATAAAAATGATTAAACACACGAAGAGAGATTGTTTGAACAAACAGATGTGTGTGTGATACGTAATAGCGTAAAGTCGCCACAAGAAGCAAGCTCGTAAATTGAAAAGAAACTCGAGTGACCGCTAAAGAAGCCATCGATCTCGTTTCATCGATAATCCGATGTCGGTGGTATCGACAAGGTCTACCGCGTATCTCTTTAGCGTTCCCTTCGTCAAGGTGCCGGGTCCTTCCCGGAGGGCCGAAACCGACGCACGATGCTAGTAATCACCGTAATTTCGCGCACAGCGTCGTAATTTTTCAACGGATCGGTCATGGCAACAACAGTTTCATTCGATTTCATTTAATGCCAACACTTATAATATAAACACTTTCAAAAATGATCCCTCTCCTTATTTTATATATTGTACTTATTTATTTATATTTGGAAGAGAAATAAAAAATCAGAACAATTTTTTACAGGTACACATAAAAAATATATATGTGTATATTTTTTATATAAAATAGAAAAAAAAAAGTTGAAAAACAACGGAAAAGAAAAAATGAAAAATGTGCAACGTGCTGTCCGACGAAATGTTACTACTCTCTACTCTACGCCATTGATTAGCGTGAACTGAATTAATAAGATTAATGAACGCGATACAGCTCGCTTTTACGAGACAGCGAGTTTCACTTCCGTATAGACGGCTCTGCGAAAATGCTCGAGTTACGTCAAGAAGTATAATGGATAATAAGCGAAAACGAGCGCATTAACCTTCCTTTCCCTCCCTCCCTCCGCCCCTTCCCCAGCCGACTTTCGATCATACACTTTTTCGATTGAAGAATGATCCCAATCTACTTGGATCATCGAGTTTCTTGGGAACCATACTTTTTTTGTTTCCATCGTAACATTAATTCCATCCAAGTTCACGTTATTCCTATCTTCTTTTCTTCTTTTAATTTTAATTATATACGATTGATAATAATTATTAGTAATATTACGTTTTGATAGAATTTAACTAGATTTTTTTAATGATAAAATGAAAATGAAATTTATTATAAAAAAGTAAAAATCAAACTTACTGGTATCGATGGTTGCAAGCCACGAAGAGAAGCCGTCACGTTGCTCCATTTTCGTTGTTGTCTGTTATGATATTGTCCGGTGGTCCTATAAATGCTATTGTTCTGATGATTAACACCGTAAGGAACGCGTTGTGGTACGGACGACGGTCTGAAGGGTGGGAAGGATAAGGATGGATAAGTCGATGCCTTAACTCTTTGATAATCGTCAAAGCATTGCTGCTGCTGCTGCTGCTGTTGCTGTTGCTGTTGCTGCTGCTGTTGCTGCTGTTGTTGCTGTTGTTGTTGTTGCTGTTGATGGTGATGATGGTGATGAGAGGAAGGAATAGAAGATAGATGATGAGGATGAGGGAGTCGATGATGATGATGATGATGATGATGATGATGATGATCACGAAGGTAGCCGTCGTTTGTGAGCGCAGAAACCGCCATCCTGTAAGCTGCGTGTCGATCGTGCGACGATCTTTCTCGATCGTGATGATCCTCGTGTTTAGGTTCGTCAGTTCGTCTACTTGAAAATGCATCCGTTAAACGTGGAGCTGGTGCACTCGTGGGTGGTCCATAAAAACGAGGAAACCCGAACGTCGAATTGGTTAAATCGGGACGTTGATATAATCCTCCTTCCCCTCTTCCTGCCGCTGTTGTTGTTCCTACTATTCCTTGACAGTTAACAGGATAATCAAGGCTTTCCAATTTTCCAAGAAAAGCTTCTGGTTTTCTTTCATAAACATAATCCAAATCCGGACGAGGATGAAAATCCTCTCCTTTCGGTTCAGGCTTTGATTCGTAACCTTCGGTAGGCTCCGGCATCTCCAACTTCACTTTCACTCTGCCGTTATCGAGCAACTCGTTGCTAATAGTTCTGTTGTCGCTCAAAGGCTCGCACTTCACCTGCGGAGACCTTGTGCACGGACTCCTCCGCTGATCCAAATCCCCGTCGCAGCCGCCCACGCTAGCTTGCTGCATTTTCTCGTCAACACAATGTTCTTTCTATCTTTCTCGGTCTCTCTTTGTTCAGGTGTCAGGTAGACACTCCTTCTTCGATAATCTCATCGTTCTCTTCACCCACACCTCAAACTTTCAATAATATTTCCTGAAATTCGATTCGTGTGTTTAAATAGAATCTACGATAATTCATGCCTAAGGATAGAAATAGAAAAATCAAAATACACTGGAAGGAAAACCATAAGAAATGTGTATCAGTCGTCATCGTTTTTTATCATTAATAATTTCTCGACAATTTCGACGCAGAAGAAATTGAAGGAGTAACGAACGTGTCCCCATTTCGAGCATAAAATCCTAATTAATTAATACACATCTTTCTCATAGCACAACGTCCACACGTTCCTCATTTTTCAGAAGCCCAACGACAGTGTAGAATAGTCACGATATGCATATAGGTAGTATAGTGGGGGTTGAAGAAGTGGAAGAGGTGGTGATGTCGGGGTGTGAAGAGGAGGGAGGACAAGGGCGGCGTGACAGTTTCCTCGGGTGTCACGTGTCGCCGTCCTTAAGCCCCGCCTACGGGAACGATTTTCCTGCGCCGTGTTTCTCGGGGCCTCACTTCGAGCACATCCATCCTGTCATTCGTTGAAAATATTTTCCCGTAAATAATCTCTAAGTCCAATCACACGAAACAAACTACAGTCACGAGTATCGTTTCATCTTAAAAATAGGACCACTAATTATATATATATAAGATAATATTCTACAAAAATATAGGGTGGGGAAAAAAAAGAGGACTGTCACTAGGTGGTGGATTTTTTTTCTTTGTCCCGGAGAACGTTCGTCCGGGAGTCTCTCTCGCACGCACGCACAGCTTGTCCCACTCCCGTTATCCCCACCTTTCAGAAGCGGCGACAAATCAACGGGCTTGAGGCAGAGCACACGACACACACTAGGAGCGAACGCGGCACGGTCAGTGGACGGTCGGGCGTGCGCGCGCGCGCACGAGAACGACACGACACGACACGACACGATACGATACGATATTATACGATGCGACGCGAGGAAGACGGTAGAGATACACACCAACCCACGAGATGGAATAGAATCTGACGAGAGAGGAAGGGGCTTAAATCTCTTTTTCTTTCTCCTCCTGTCAAAAGCGTCTTCGTTTGTTGTCGTCGCCGTTAATTTTCGAACTTTTTCAAAAAGTGACGTTTTAGTTCCTCGAATTAGAAGTATAATCCATCGCGCGTCATCTTCTTATTATCTTCTTTGTTAAATTCCTTATTTTTCCTCTCGGAATCCTCGCGAAGAAGTAGGAGTTCTTAAAGCCGACGGTACGACGTACGCGAGAGAACCTTGCGAAACGAGAAGCTCTCGTGGAAGTACCCGCCTTCGTTCGTTCGTTCGTTCGCTTACTTGCTAGCTAGCTTGCTTGGTTGCTTGCTTGCTAGCTCGCTAGCTGGCCTGCTTGCTTGGTTGCTTGCTTGCTTGCCTGCTTGCTTGCTTGCTTGCTTGCTTGCTCGCTTGCTTGCTCGTTCGCTCTCACTCACCGGCTATTTTTCGATCGATCGGCACGCGCGCGCACATCGAGAGAACGACACGACTGGTCGTTCGTCTTCTCTCGTCTTCTCGTTCTTCGTTGGGACACACCGTGAGAAGTAGGTGGACAATAAGAGCGAAAGAGAGAGATAGAAAGAGACAGGATGGTAGAGAGGAGAAGAGAGGGAAAGAGAGAATGCGTGCGACAGAGAGAGAGAGAGAGAGAGAGAGAGAGAGAGAGAGAGAGAGAGATTGAATGAGTGAAAGAGAAGATTAGAAAGAGAGAGAGAGAGAGAGATGGGAAGAGAGAGAGTGAGTGATAGCGAGAGAGAAAGGGAGAGAGAGAGCACATACGTAAGGAAGCCGGGCTCGGTGAGCTGATCGCGTACGAGTTTCGTTCCACGCAGCGTGAAACTTGGCGGAGGTGCGCGGCCACCACCAAGAGGCGGAAACTGACGAGTATTCACGAGAACGACCGAACCTCCAATCCATATAACCATCTCTCTTCAACTTCTCTTTCACTTCGTTCTTTCCTTCTCTCACCAGCAACCAGTGTTCGTCTCTATCTCTCGGTCGTTCTCTCCGTTCAATCTCTCTCTCTCTTTCCTTCTTTACTACCCTACTCTACCTTCGTATTTTGCCGCTTCCCGCTTTCCGCGAACGCGTATCAACCGTGCAGACCCACGAAGTGGGTTCACCTTTTGTCAGACCCCCCCGCACGCACCCCGCCTATCCAATATACACATGCATATACATATACATATATATATATATATATAGATCGTGTATATGTAAGAGGAAATACTCAATGCATTACATACATACACATACATACATACATACGCACAAATGCACACGTTTGTAGCAATGAGTTTCTGTCGTAAGAGATGGATAGATCATTGACGAGTCTTATATGATTTTCATTTAAACTTATTATTTATCATAATTAATAATCTATGTCATTCAATGTCCCATTACAATATCGTAATATCAAACGATGAAGTATTGTTCGCAGAATTTCAATGAAATCTATCAAAATTTAATAAACAAATGATTAAATCAATTTAGAATCGATCGGAAGTACATCAACGGTCTAGTACCAAGGTCGAAAAAAACGTCTCGATGTTGAAGTTGTTGAGCGGAAAACAAAGGTAGACTTGGGTGAGTAAAACTACAGATCGAACGTCTGGATCGGTAGTAGAAGAAGAAGAAGAAGAAGAAGAAGAAGAAGAAGGAAGCGGTACTTTTTAACGGACTCTTTTTCTTTCTCGGGGCTGGCAGGTAAATCGTTGGAAACGTAGAACGTATACCAGTTCTACGGGGTGAAGTGAAACAAAAGGAGAAGAAGGTGGAAGAGAGGAGAAGGGGGATGAGGGGGAGGAGGAGAAGAAGAAAGAAGAAGAAGAAGAGGGAATAGTACCTCCGGCTCGCTTTTCGATCTCTCCGAGCACGTACATGTATATATATATATATATATATGTGTTTATACACAAGTAGTTGCATGGTATATATCGTACATGGCCGCAGCAGCCCCTGGACTCGCGAGAGAAACGCATCGAACACGGTGCGTTCGTGTATGCACTTTCGCAGCGGGATGACTGGTGAGAGAATTCAATTTCCGTCGTCGTTATCGTTGCCTCCATCAGACTCCTCGTCGTTCCTCGTCGGTTCGAATCTCTCGTTGAAACAATCGTTTCCATCCCCGAAGATGAGACGATCGAACTAAACTTTACATTGTCTTTTTTCTTCCTTTCTCTCTGTCTGTCTCTTTCTCTCTCTCTCTCTCTCTCTCTCTCTCTCTTCATTTCTATACCAGCTTCGAAGGGACGTCACGTTGAGTGTCTGCGATTGTACAAAATGTGTCCAGACTTACCTATTTATTCATATACATAAAACATATTCGTTGTTAGGAGATTGCAATTTAAAGAGAGGCAGGGTCGAGCCCTCGTCAACGTTGGCGATCCGGCCAACTAAGCGAATTACGTTTTACGACTCGGCAAATATAGTCCTCGTTACGCAATAGGTCTGCGCTTCCCAGCTGTTCGATCAGTGGTTTCGAAAGGAAGACTACTAGGGTGTATATATATGTTGGTAATAGTTTGTTCACAGGAAAAAGAAATATGATGGTAAGAACATTTACTTCGAATGAATTTGAAATACTACTTATCTTATCACATATTTCAATATATATAAAACCAACAAAACAAAGGGAAGATAAAACGAATGATCCATCAAATCAACAAACCAACTTCCAGTGATGCTAGAGAAAAATAAAACAAATCCGATGGGCGATTTAGGTAGAAAACTTGATAGAACACGACAGAATAAGAAAAGGAAACACGTTCTTCTTACATGATCATTTTATAGCTTGATCCTGAGTATAGAAGAGGTAAAAGTAAAGAAAAAGAAGTAGAATAAGAAGAAGAAAAAGAATAAGAAGCAGAATAAGAATAAGAATAATCTTCAGGAAGAAGGATCCTGCGCCGTCTGGTTGTCGGCGAACGGTTGAAACGTCGGAGAGGGCGTGTGTCACCAGAGTGCCTGGGGACAGATCCAGCCAATGGGAAGTCGTGGAAGGCGTGAATGGTGGCCACAAACGGGGACAGTCGAGGAAAGACACGGGCAAGTAAGGCTCTCTCTCAGTCTGGTTATGCGCGACACGAGTGGTCCCCCTTCTCTGTGGGTCGCTCGAAGCGAGGGACATCTCGGAACGTCGGTCGGTGGGGTTCAGTGGTGGGGAGAGCATTGGAGGGGTCGTAGGGGAAGGAGGCCGAAGAGTGGGGAAGCCGGACACGCCCACTTGGTCGTGGAGTGGGGCCCGAAAGAGGGGGAGCTCGACTGCCCCAACTCTTACTATCCTTTTCTCTATCTCGTTCTTTCTCTTTCTTCTTGCTGCTGCTGCTGCTGTTGCTGACAACGGCGCGCATGTGGCATCTGCTTCTCCACGGATACGTCGCACGGATGACACCGGAGATTGCTCCTACCCACTGTAAGTGAGAAAGAGAGAAACAGACCTAGAGAGAAATATATCTGCTTGCCTTCGTATTATACGTCTTCTCCGTGTGTAAGTACCAGTGTATATGTGGGCGAGTAACACGGTTTACTAAGAGAGATACGTTCCCTACTAGTAGTAGGCAGTTCGTACCTTCCCAGCCATGCACATAAATTTTCTTAGAGGGTCTCTACGTCACGGATCGTGACTACGAACCAACCGAGATCGTAGGAACCGCGATGACTTTTCTCTATCCTTCTCTTTCTTTCTAGAATTTCTTCTTCTTCTTATTTTTTTTCTTCTTTTTCCTTTAACGTTATTGGAGATGCAAGAAACACGGACGACAAACACCTCGAGCGACGCATTCACGTTCCCTTTTCCCTCTTGGCCGACCGCTCGTTCACTTAACTCCTGTCCCTTCCTACATCTCGATGCACCAAGATTATGACTGTTTGTGGTAGATATACATACTGGGAAATGGTAATGTATCTCTCAAGCCATTCCGAGATCCATGTAATTTGGTTGTTCCAGTGGATCGTGCGTGCCATTCGCTCGACGCTAATCGCACGATATTTCTCCTCGATCGTTTGTTCACCCGCGCAAAAACACATTTCGGTGACGACGAGAAAGCCTTATTGAAATGGGAAACGAAGAACGTCATTCTTTTTAAGAAACCCAATTTCATTCGGGGAAAGGAATTAGTTTACCGTGTGAGTTTTACTCGTTCGAGTATGTTGGGATTCTTTTTCATGAAGTGCATGGAGAAAGAAAGGATTCTGCGAATAAGGTTTATGCTTCATTTCGATCACGTCTACTGAAGAGTTATGTGAGTCAGTTACTTGACGAGACTTCACACGTATTTCATACGTTATGCATTAGAAGTATAATGCATTTCTCATGTGTCTTTGTAGATTTTTGAATATTAGGTCGTCTCAAAAGTTTCTTCTTCTTTTACATTGTAAATTTTACCTGTGCACATAATTTTTTATTCCATTTGATTTGTTTTTTTTTTTTATATACGATTCGAATTTACCCTATTACACATTTTTCTAAAATAAGATAGAATAAAAATATTTGTTCGTGCAACACTTAGATATTAACAAAATGCAAAAATCTTTTGCTACAAGTTGAAATTTCATATAAAAATTAAATATCACCCGAAAATATAAATTGTTTATGCGAGTTCTTTTCTCAAAGAAAACTAAAACAATTCAAAAGACAACATCGTCGTATCTTGTGTGACTTTTAACGGGCAACATCGATTCGAGCGACGGGAGCTTTCCGAACGATTGACGTCTCTTAATTGCGGCTTTTCTCTTATCTACTGTCACCCTATTCCCCTAGTAGCGCGCTAAGTCGAAGGATTAGTTTCTCTATCAACGAGGACCCACGTCGGACGTTTAATCTTTTCTCCTCAACGATAGAGACTGGTGGTTCCGTGAGCTGACTAGTTCGAACATCGATCGGTCTCTCTTTTCGCAGCAGCAACACAACACACACACACACAGATACACGTTTCCCTAAATCCAACGTAAATACAAAGATAGGATGAGAACGGCTAGTAGTAGATACACATATACCTACGCAACGTGCACTATACCTCTAGCAAAGTATTATCGCTATGTTTCTAACGTTTTCTTCTTTTTGTTCTTAGTTGATCGTGTCTCGGTATAGTTTCTCGAGTTTCTTAAAATCCACTTAACCGTCAAACACAGTGTTAAGCGCATTTTATTATCGGACCACTTAGTTAAAATATACACGCGTACATGAATACATACACACACACATATTATATATATATACGATGTAACTATTAACTATCTAGAAGTATACCTTTAGTCAATGTTATACTATATGTTCGAGTTCACCGAGTTTCTTTTGACACTTGACAT